AAATAAATGTTTATCAAATAAAGTCTAATGTTACAACTAATCAGGGATCCCTTTAAACTTGTGCATGATTGTGGTTTGATGTTCACGAATTTCTCGGGCTTCTTGTTTGTGTTGTTTCCATCTCTCTGCTCCAAACGTTTCCATCTCTTCAACACACAACATCACAGAGAAGCTCCTCTCCTCACAGATGTGCTCGGGGCTGTCCTTAGAGATTTCCCCGAGCAAACAATGCTCTCTTCGCCCTCGGTGTCTCTCTGACTCCAACCCCACCACCATCACCACATCCCCCCACCACCGTCTCCCTCTGCCTCCATCCATGTCGCCTGCTCTCTCTCTCCCCCCTCTGATTTCACACCAATGAGAATGCCGCATGTAGCTCCCACTCACTGGCATCAGAAGCATGAGATATCTTCCGTCTTTAGCTGTACATTTTCATACAAACACAGCGTTGGCCAGACCGAGGCTGCGTTCTGCCAACACGCACGCTGGGTACAGGCAGTGGTGAAACAAGAAGGGAAGAAAGAGTGCACCTGATCTCTCTCTCACGCCAGACTCAAGGTAAACGAAACATATTGATTTACAGGATCACTGTTATGTAATTCTGCTGTGGACACTAAGCTGTGGGCATTAATCTTATCTTGGGTTGTTCTTTCTGATGCACAGGTCTGAGTGGTYGCTTTGGAAGGTAGCTCACTGTTAAATTAGTGCAACAAACCACTTTCTGAAGTGATTTGTGGCTATTATTAGAAACACTAATAAAACTGCTTGTGTTGTCTCTGGTGTCATGTTCTCCGGTTACCTGCCTTCCGTGAACTTTCGGGTGCATCCCTGCGCAGCATGGTTACATTTCTGATGGTTTGTTTGTGCATCATTATGAGCACAGTTTCTTATCAGTTCACACCCTCCTCCCTCCCCCTCGACGCTCCTGGCTCTGGTGGAATTTCAGTCCAGAAAATGTCACTCACTTATGCTAACAAAGATGGAGACAGGCTTTGAAGCCCACACAAATGTCACCTCAAGTGTTTTTATTTATTTATTTTTTACATTTCCCTACCTGGTTCCATTGCAGCCCAGTTAAATGGATCAGTTTATGTTTCAGTTTGGGTTTAGATCAAAAAATTCTACATAGATGGCTCTCATTGAATTAAAAGAACATATAACAACTGCTGTTGATCAAAAACAGTACTGTGTCAGTATTTTTGTTGATTTTAAAAAAGCATTTGATACTATTAACCACAGTATTCTTTTTGAAAAGCTAAAAAAATATGGTATTAGAGGACCTGCATTACTTGGAAGATAGAAAAGAATTTGTGGACATAAATAATGTAAAATCTGAGTATTGTAACATCTCATGCGGAGTGCCCCAGGGTTCCATTCTCGGACCCAAGTTATTTATTTTGTGAACGATTTGGTAAATGTTTCGGGTCTTTTTGAGTGTGTCCTATTTGCTGATGATACAACATTATTTTGTTCCGGTAAAGATATAGAACAAATGTTGGAGAAAGTACAGACAGAATTTGGGAAAATACAAAGTTGGTTTCAACTAAATAAATTAGCATTAAACTTGGACAAGACAAATTATATGTTTTTCTGTAACAATAAGAGAACTGTAGATGTTTCATTTAAAACTGATGATGTTGAGATCTGTAGAGTCAGTGAAGTGAAGTTTCTAGGTGTCATTATTGATGAAAAACTGACATGGAAAAAGCCTATAAATGGTTTAAAAACAAAAATAGCCAAATCAATTGGAGTACTGTACAAAGTAAGAGAACTGTTCAATGATAAAGCACTGTTTATGTTGTATAACGCTATAATTGTTCCACATTTAATTTACTGTATTGAGGTATAGGGTAAAGCTTGTAAAACTGTCACAAATCCTATTTTTATTTTACAGAAAAGAGCTCTAAGAATTATTACTAGAAAAAATTACAGCCATCCATCGAACTGTTCAATGATAAAGCACTGTTCATGTTGTATAACGCTATAATTGTTCCACATTTAATTTACTGTATTGAGGTATAGGGTAAAGCTTGTAAAACTATCACAAATCCTATTTTTATTTTACAGAAAAGAGCTCTAAGAAACATTACTAGAAAAAATTACAGCCATCCATCGAATATATTGTTTCATGATTTGGAATTATTAAAATTCTATGATTTGGTCGATTATAATATTTTACTGTTAATGTACAGAGCTCATAAAAGGCATCTTACCTTTCAACATTCAAGTAAATTTTGTTAAGAGAGAGAGCTGTTATTATCTTAAAGGAATTGAAACGTTAGTGAAACCCTGGTTTTTTACGAGCCTAAAGGAGCAATTCACTTTAATCCAGGGAATAAGATTATGGAACAGCTGTGAAGTTGAGGTTAAAAATGCCAGATCCTTGTATATATTGAAGAGAATGAGAAAAACTAGTTTTCTGAAGAAATTTGGAGAAGTGTAAGTGAATTTATGCTAACTGGTGTTTGAGTTGGTGTCTTTAATTTTTTAAGTTCATTTTTAAGTGTTTTAAGTTGTTTTGATTTTTGTAGTATTTTACTTTTCTTTTGAACATATTTTGGGGTTAAAAAGGGGCAGATATTATAAGATTTATTCTTCTTCTGCTGCCTTTTATTTTATTTGATTTTATTTTGATTGCATGATTGTTGTACTTTGTTAATTTGTGTAACAAATGAAATGAATAAAGTGAAGTGAAGTTACCACTTTCTAGTTCTGTGCTCGACTATTATAAAACCCGGTGTTGGTGGATTTTGCATTTCTTCTACTGAGTTCAACAARAAATCAAACTGCTTCAGGTGGAGGTGGCAAATAATTTACTGAAATAAAGTCAGCCGATGAATTTATCTACTTTTTTTATTCATACGTCTTTGCTCGTGACAAACACAAGCGTAAATGTGGAGGAGCTGTGAAATGATGAGGCACTGCTCTGCAGTTTTTAAAACATTTTGTTCCATTTGACCCTGTTTTGWTAGAATTAGCCGACCGCTGCTTTATTTAGGCACCAACGAGAGGTTTGGAAAACAGATGATTGGAATTTGTGTTTTCTCAACATATATTTCAKATATCTTCTAATCTCTSTTTCACTCTTTCTCATTACATTTCACTTTTTTCTTTCTCTTTCTTTTTCTCCTATTAAAAAWAGCCACTGATGAAGAAGAAGCTAAGATGCTAATATTCTGATATTCAGTTCTGCTTTCTACTGAAGGGGCWAAAAAAGGGAATTTCACACAGGAAACTAAAACCACTTTGAGTCATTTTGAATGAATTTACGTTTGATTCTTTGCAGAAGCTGGGAGCCTGAACACCTGCACGTCTGATTTACATCAAACAGGTCAGCCTGATAGACTTTAATCAKGCTCAACTCTTATTGCAAAACAGTCTGTAGTCATGTGTCTGATTTTATCCAATCCTAACCTGCCTCCACCACATGATGACGTGGTAAAAACAATTTCTTTCAAATATCTCTTTAGATCAGTCTACACCACAAAATAAGGGTTTATTTTGTCCACTAAGCATTCCTTTTTATAAAACAACAAGCTTTATCTTTAGAGGAACAACCTGTGCTTCTGATCATCCTTTAGACCAGTGGTTCCCAAACTTTTTGTCTTCTGACCCACAAAATATTCATGGCAAAAACTTGTGACCCCAAATATTACTGGTCTGAGTACATGAATTTCGTTAATAACCCTAAAAACATAGGCTTTTTGTCAATCTAAACAGCTTATACACAAATATAAATACTTATTT